GACGACACTCATGGATGCTTGTTCTTCCTTTAGTATACAGGAGCCCCTTCCCTGGGTCTTTCCCCTCTGGTCCACTCTACTGAATTGACCCTGTGTGTTCTGTTAAATTTGTATTCCACTGCTGCCATTTCTTCTACCTTCCTCCAATTGCTGGAGATGTCCATATTCTCTCTCAGAACAATTCTGTGAGAAATGCACTCATCAGTCATCTTTAAATGCAGCACCATCATCTCACATTCAGTATCCAAAACCACATCACCTGCCCTGCAAAAGGTGTTCTTCCTTTCTCCTGGATTTCTGTGGCTAACAATAGAGACATTCAGAGCCTGAAGATGTAGCTCAGTGGTAGACTATGTACTTAACATGTGCTAGCACCTGGTTTCAATCCCCAATACACACAAAGACACACAGAGAAACATTTTCCTTTTTAATTAGACAACTGAGAAAACTCTCATCCTTCCTGACTCCGAGGCATCCCTCCATCCTGCCAACCCAAGAGTAAACTTGGAAAATTTTCCTTTGCAGCAAGATTTCAACCCATTCTTTTTCATGCTCGCTGTGAAACTCACTGATACACACCCGTGACATTCATTCTTTCCTTAAAATGTCTACAACACTACTTGTGACATATCATTCTTTGTATTCAAAACCACACAGACTCCCACATTCATAAAGTTAGATAACCCTAAAGCAGGGCCTTAAGGGTTCTCAAGCTGGTCTACCTTTATCATTTCCCAGCACAAACTCTCTGCTCTCTGCTGATAGGCTGGCACAGCCTAATATATCCCCATATCAGTGTCTAGCACACAGCAAGTACCTGATAATGTTTAGTCAGGCGACCATACAATGTACTGTCCAAACTGTAATCCTTTTCAAAAAGAACCAGAATACAAAAAATAAACTGTATGATCTTTCAAAGCTTATCTATTGACTAACCACTGACCAATTATTGGTTTTATATCAGAAGACTTACAAGATGTGTCTATTAAAAAGCCATTTTCAAAAATAAAATTACTGCCAAGTGTAGTGGTGCACACTTACTAATCCCAGGACTGAGAAAGCTAAGGCAGAAGGATTATGAATTCCAGGCCAGTCTGGGCTACACAGTGGGGCACAATCTCAAAATAGTAACAGTAATAATAGTAATAAACTAGTTATTGGAAAATTAAAATATATTAAGGAAAAACTGTGCCTTATTTTGTATGATTTGTGTCCTCCTTACATCCCTAAAACAACTTCATCTCTTTGTTTATTTAACTTTTTAACTGAGTTTATACAACAGTTAGAGATGTCAGATGTTTCCCCATGACAAATTGAATTTCTAAAACGTTTATTCAGAATGCATTAGTGCATTAATAGAGCAAATTCAACTGTTTTCAGAACACCACTAACAGAGCTAGTACATTAATAGTATGTGCCCTCATTTTTCACATCCAGTTGGAAAACTATACATATACATAAGAAACTATAACTACATGTACACACAAGAAAAACTAATCTTCATAACTAATTTTGCTCATTTTCATTTGTTCTACATAAAAATGAAGTGTGCAGGGCATGGTGGCACACACTTTTAATTCTAGTACTTGGGAAGCTGAGCAGGCAGATCTCCAGGAGGTTGAGGCCAGCCTGGTCTACATAGTAAGTTCCAGGCCAGTAGGGGCTATAGAGATACCCCATCTCAAAATGACAAACAAACAAACAAACAAAATAAATAAATAAACAAACAAACAGCAAAGTGCTAATCAAAACAAGAAAATTCACCTCCCACAGCTGCATTACTACACTTAGGCATGGGTTTTAAGATTTGTTTTTATTTTTATTTATTTATTTTCTTGGTCTTTTTGAGACAGGGTCTCCCTATAGCTCCAGCTGGCCTAGAACTCACTTTGGTATACCAGGCTGGCTTTGAACTCACAGAGATCTGCCTGCCTCTGCCTCCCGAGCACTGGGGTTAAAGGCGTGTGCCACCATGCCCGGCTGTTTTTCTTTTTTTAACTATGTATGTCTGAATGTGGGTTTGTACACGAGTGCAAGTGCCTGCAGAGGCCAGAAGAGGAATCTAATTGGGATCTTCCACAAAACCAGTTCATTCTCTGTCCTAGTTAGTTTTAGTTGTCAACTTGACAGAGCATCTAAGGCAGCCTCAACTGACAAACTGCCTCAATCACACTGACCTGTGGCCACGCCTGAGAGGAACTCTCTTGAGTTCCAGACCAGCTGGGGCTACAGGGAGACTCTGTCTCAACCCCCCCCCCAAAAAATACCCAGAAAGCTAGCTGAGCATAAGCCAGGAAGCAGTGATCTTTTCACGGTCTCTGCTTCAGTTCCAGCCTTGAGTTACATCCTGACTTCCCTCAGTGAGAAACTGTTACCTGTGTAAGCCGAACACTTTCCTCAGGTTGATTTTGGTCATGGTGCTTATCAGAGCAACAGAAATCAAGCAAAATGCTCTCTTCGTGTTTATCCACAGTGGGGCTGTTCTGCCTCTTCTCCCTACCATAAGTCTAGCCTATAAATTCCTGTGTTATCCTCTGACCCTGCCAACTGGTTCATGCATCTCATGGCCCACAGCATGGCATGCACGTCTGGTATGTATCAGAAGTCACACAGAGACAATGGTTCAAGCACTTCTTCCACCACCAGCAAGACCCAAAGGAGTTGGTTTTCTCAACTACTTTCAGCACAGAGTTGGTTTTAGTTGAAGAAAACATTAGTTGAGTTATACCTGGGAAAGGATTACAGAAAAGCCAGGCAGGCCATTCCTTGTTGTCCTTCAGCTTTGATTGCATTATGAAGTGAACCAGCACTTGACTACACCTAAGCAAAGTACCAGATGAGATACAGCAGAAGGTGAAGAAACAAGAAGATGCTTACAAAGACCTACTCTATCTCGCCCCAGTGAAACTGGGGGACAGAACTTCATTTATAAGTGAAAAACATGGCCAGGCATGGTGTTGCATGCCCATAATTCCATCACAAGGGAAGTGATGAGACCAGCCTAGACTACACAACAGCACCTTGTCTGCTCCTTCCTCCCCACTCCTCCAAGCTCCCTGGCCACCCTTCCTACCAAAGCATTAAAATCTGGAATACTCACCACTAGAACAGCAAGTATGTACTGGACCAGTAATACAGACTGCATGCCTTTCCTCAATCTCTCCCCGCTTGCGAAGCCAGCTCCCCTCTAGTCATCTTTGTACTTTTCATGATTCATTCAACACCCAACTCCCATTCCATCTTAGCACAAAGCTTCCCCTTACTTTTTTTTATTTTTTTGGTCTTTTTGAGGGTCTCCCTGTAGCCCCAGCTGTCCTGGAACTCACTATGTAGACCAGGCTGGCCTTGAACTCAGAGATCTGCCTGTCTCTGCCTCCCAAGTGCTGGGATTAAAGGCATGCACCACCACGCCTGGCCTCTTTTACTTTTATAATATAAAAATCAATGAAGTTTGTTACTTGGATATGCTCATTTGCATGATTAGTGATCACAAACTTAGAACCCACTCAATGATTTTAAACATTCTGTGAAAGGGCACCCCATAATTAGGATTATTAAGTTGTTTTGTTTTTCTTATCTGTGGTAGCAAGTATCACAAAAACCGTATTCAGAACTTTCTCTTTTTTTGGTCTTTTTGAGACAAGGTCTCCCTGTAGCCCTAGCTGGCCTGGATTCACTATGGAGACAAGGCTGGCCTTGAACTCACAGAGATCCACCTGCCTCTGCCTCCTGAGTGCTGGGATTAAAGGCGTGCGCCACCACAGATCTTTCTTTTTATCAAAGGTTCAATTGTTGTTTATGCATTTAACATGTAGCCCAAGACAATTCTTCGTCGAATGTGGCCCACAGAAATCAAGAAGTTGGACACTCCTATTCTAAGCAAACTGATTTTTTGGTGTAAAAGACATTCCTGCACCTGTTCCTGCACAGCCTTCATAGAAGCACTGTTCATCATAGGCAAGGGGTGGAAGCTACCAAGTCTCCACTGGATCAATTATCCCAAGTCAGTGTCCATGTTTGTTGGGAGCCATGACTGGTGAAAGGAAAGGGCAATTATAGTCAGACAGAGGGGAAAAAAGTATTTCTAACAATAAGATCATTTTACTGAGTATCATTTTGTACAAATGAAGGCAACCTCCCCCTTTAAACTAGGTGGTCTCCTGTGGATTCATCATTCATTTAAGGATCTAGATCCTTTTTCGTTTATTTTTCAAACCTTAAAAAGTAGTTTAAATGGGGCTGGAGAACTGGCTCCACCAGTAAAGAGCTCCGGAACAAGGGCCTGAGTTTGAGCTCCAGAACCACATACAAAACCTGCACAGTGGCTCACACGTCTCATCCCAGCATTGGGGAGATAACAATAATCCTGAGCCTCACTGGCCAGCCAACACAGCCTATGGGGTGAGCTCCAAGCCCCTAAGAGATTCTGTCTCAAAAAACAAAGCTGCCAGCTCCTAAAGACTAATACCTGAGGTTGTCCTCTAGTCTTTACATGCATGCAGATATATATAGACCCACATACATATGCATTTACACACACATACACAAAAATATTTTAAGTGTTCTGATTAATTTGTGTGTGTACACACAAACATATTATTCCCTTAAATGATCAACAACCCATTCTACATGTTACCCTATTTATGGAAAGGTTTCTGTCATTGTTGATCTTAGAAAGCCCCTGCAGAGTCCTACCTATACTGTCTGCAGTTATGATTCTCATTTCCCTCCTAACACACCTGTTTAAAATAGTAATGACTGTATTAGAGTTAAAGACAGATAGGAGAAAAGAATAACAACAAAATTAAATCAACAGAAAGTAAAAGAAAACTCACCTGGTCCACTTTGGGTAAAAAGTAAGAAGCATATTAGAAACTAAGTTCTTTGCTCTCAAGGACAAACTCCCCAATCAGCAGGACAGAAAATGAACACTCATTGGGTCAGAATCAAACCCAAAGAAAAACCCAAGCACAAGAACCAGCGGGGTTTCCCGGTCTAACCTGCATGGGATTAATCTTCACTGAGCGCTCAAAGCACTCCACACATTCCTGAAACTCCTTGTTCCGAAGATGAAGGAGGGCTTTGCAGCGCTGGGCACGAGCACTGCGGTGCTGAGACAACTCCCAGGCCTTGTCATAGCAGGAGTGGTCTCGAAGGACATCCCCAAGCAAGCAGTATAAACTTGGTGTTTCTTTTTTCTCCAGTTCTTGTCTAAGGATTTCTTCTGCCTGTGAACAGCAACAAAAATGGCAAAATCACTTCATTGTAAATGCAATTGTTAGCACATACGCATCTTTTATTTCATAATCCAAACATGCATCTTCAACGTTTGTGACTGCTTGCTCATCTCATGGATCCAGAGCACAGGCTAAGAAAGGCCCAAGACAAAATAAATACAGAGCAAACAAAAACAGAACAGGAGGATGCAAGCTCTGCTCTGCCCCTGGAACTGCACACTGAGGACTCGTTTCCCTTGCTGCCAGGCAGTCTATTCAGCTCCCTCTTCCCTGCTCTGGTTATCACCACTGTGGCTGTTAGCAGTGCCTTTACTTCATCTACACCCAACAGCATTCTCCACCCAACAGCATGAAGTGTTTTGTGGGTTTTTAAGTGCTATGGCTGGTAAGTCTGAAGTTGTCAAAATTTTTATTTAAAAGAAGAAGAAATAATTTAATAGGCATTGCTAAAAACCTAAATCTTAACCAAGCCACATCTCACCCTACAAATTAAACCTGTCAATGAGACAGAGGAAGAGGACACATCTGTCCCTTGGTTCCTGGGCATTTAACATTATTAGTAAGTTCCTTAAGTGCTTATGATAAGCACTCCTCGTGCTGGGGATCAGGGTGCGGGGTTGACTTCCAAATTGGACCCCCTGTTGTTGAACCCTGTCTGCCTTGAGCAAAAGGACTACTGGTCAGTCATCCAGACAGACCAGCCATTTTGAACACTCCAAAGCCACCACAATTCCTGGTGAGTACTTCAGCACCTGAGGAATCAACCTCAGCCAGGATTGTTTCAGTCTATAGCAGACTTTCTGCTTTCTTAAGCCTGGGTAAACTCTAGGTGACTGCAATCATTTCCACCTACACCAGGTTGGGGGGGTCTCCTGGCCTAGCAGGAGGACTGCTATGAATGGTGCAAACAAAAACCTTCATTTGCATGTGAGTTGTGTTGTCACTGTCTACATAGGCTGCTCAGGCACATTTAGATACTCTCCTGTGCTGCCTCCCCTGGTGTTGCAACATTAGGGCCCAAAGTGGTTTCTCTTAAATGGTCTTTTCTTGTAAAGCAGCGGTAGAGTGACAGTAACAACAACAGCTGAGCAATCAGCAGGGTGAGCACAAAAGCAGCAAGGCAGGGGGCTGCTTGACAACTGAGGAGGTAGAGCTGAGCATTGGCAAGCAGAGCTTAGTGGTCAGGAGGCTGAGCTATGGCAGCAGCCAAGTAACTGGCTGCTTGACAGCTGCACAAGACACTAAACCATTCAAGAGAACACCGGGGCAGCAACAAGGGGATAGAGGAAGTAGAGAAGACAAGAGTTGAGGCTGAAAAAGGCTAGAAGGCTAGAAAGACCCAGAGAAGACAAATAGCAGTCCTAGTTACTGCAAGAGTTCTAAAAAGCTGCCTAGCCTTTAGGACCAAGGATCTCAGTGTCCTCAAGCTTGAGAGCTATAACACTGGCCATTGTTAAGGACTAAGGATCCTGATACCTAGGCCCACCTGGAAGCCACAAAACCAGCTGACGCTAAAGACTATGGGATCCTGACTTCTTAGGCCTACACTAAAGTGTAGAGTTAAGGGTCTGGGCACCCAAGGCCTGCACTAGAACTATAATGCCAGAGGGTTCAACCTGCAGCTGCTCCCACCTTCTGCTGCAAATGGCTGTCAAATGCTGTATTCACTGTTGTCAAATGCCAAACAAGACGAAAATTCTAAAGCTACTGAAGACCAACACCTAAAAAGCTTTTCCTTATTTTCTCATAATGTCTATCCAGGTCGAACAAATGGACCCCAGCCTGATTGGTAACACCAACATTAAGCATACATGACTCCAGTCCATTGACTCTACATCTTAAAAATCACGTTCCACTCCTGGCTAACATATGAGTATCATTCCCTTATGTCCACAATGCACAGCCACCTGATCATACAGCGAATTCTGTGCCCATTACTACCACTCATCCTCAACATCCCCTTCCCATGTCTGCCATCCTGTTTCTGACAAATTTCAACAAAGAGTAAGAAGCACAGCAGTTGCCTTTGCATGCTCCACACACGAAATCCTCATATAAAAACAGTGATATCACCAAAGATAGTAAGATAGCCACTGCTCAAAGGATGTAGGCATCCAGGAAAGCTACTTTTTAGAGAGGTCTAATGAGATCTGAAAGTCCCTAACTATATAAATTGAAACCACCTCCTCCTCCTCCTCCTCCTCCTCCTCTTCTTTTTGGTCTTTTTGAGTCAGGGTCTCCCTGTAGCCCCAGCTGACCTGGAACTCACTATGTAGACCAGGCTGGCCTCAAACTCACAGAGCTCCACCTGCCTCTGCCTCCCAACTGCTGGGATTAAAAGCACGTGCCACCACGCCTGGTGGGATACATTTCTTAAAGTATCTTTGGATGCTGATTCTTTAAATTTGTTAGATATGGTACAAATAAATAGAGGCTTTCAGGTCTCGTCTGAAATCACAATCAGATTTTATGAAACAGTTTCTAAGGGAAAAAAATTATAAATCCCTGAAAGTTTAATTAAATGTGGAGTTTTAGAATTCCTCTATTCACAAATAATATAATAGTTATTAATGTATCTGACTATAACCATTACCCATAATGATACATTTAACCAAAATTACACAAAATTGTGTCAACAAAATCTTCAGTGAAATAATCTTAGTGCGGTTCAATGCATTTTTCTTGACAGCATAGCATTTAAACTTGGTATCCACACCATTCCAGAAATTTCAAAGCTGATTCACTTAATAAATCCCTTTCTGCTTTATTCAATTACAGTGGATTTTGTGGTCTACAATTAAATAATGACCAGTATAGTAACTGAGTATAGATGTGATTACAGGCAATGTCTCCCTGGAGAAAATGGATATTTGTTATTGGCATCTAGTCTGATTGGGTTGGAGGACAGCGAGGATGCACGATTGTGAATGGCACAAATACTTGCAGACTGTGACATGCAATGATGGGAGAATTCTTGAATTACCAGCTGTGACACCTTGGACTACAGCACTCACAGGTGCAATGCTTTGTATACTGAGTGGCAGGATATTATCAAGGAATACAAGTGTGAGATAGTTTGCCTACTTCCAGATTCATTACAGAAAGCAAACAAAAATGACCTCAGAGTTGTAAATCCTCAAGGCCAGTGAGCCAACGCATTTCTAGGATAACCTCAGAGGATCTGTTGTTTCTCATAGCTGTCCAGCTGGTACAGCTAAAACGAGACACAGCAAGACACTGTCCTGCAGAACTGCTGAAGCACAGGGTAGGCAGACTCAGTGCCGTGACTTCTATGGGAAAGTTAGGGTTAACCAAGGATCTTTTGCTTTATTTTTTTATTTTCTCAATGGGCTTTTAGCTACACATCTTTTTTTATTATTTCACAACTGCTCTAGGTGGGCTTGTGACTATAATAAAAGTAACAATGAATGACTTTCAAAGCCTTGCGCTTCTCCTGGAACTGCTGGAGCCCGGAGATGCCATGTATGCAGTCCCACTGTCCCTGAGCTAATTCATGAAGAAAAAACACACAGAGAGGCCTTGAACTGAGGAAACCGAATCCCAGCGGTCTCCAGCTACCCCAAGCCCTGTGCAATCCCCACTCTACCACCACCTAATTCCAACAGCAGGAGAAATCCAAAGCCACAGCCCAGTCGAGACTTTTCTAAATTCCTGTCCCACAGAAACATAGGAGAGAAACAAATGGGTGGTGTAGGTTTAAGCCATTAAGTTTTGGGCAGACTTGTTACAGAGCAGCAGGAACTTCAACAGTTGTTCAAAGCAGGAGTGTGAGCCCAATGCCGGGTAGTTCATCGGGGCCAGGAGCAGAAGAGGGTACTGATCACCAAGGAGCCAGACTCCAGAATTTAAATAGGGACACTTGGGGTTATTCAGGGAACAGAAACCCCACAAATTCACTAGTGTCCTATGCCAGCAGCAGCCATCCCCTTGGTCAGTTAAGACTGATGCTACTTCACTGAAAGACACTGTGACAGACGACTAAAGCATCCGTCCATCACTCTAGACACAAATCTACACACAAAAAGCACTGAAAGATTTTAATTTACAGAGAAAACCTTAGGATCAAAAAGATTCTAAAGGTGCTAAACCAGAGAAAAATGGGATCATAATCTAAATGAGACTGAATTTAGATCCCCACCATACAGTTTTGATTCACAGTACTAACTCAAGCACCTGGGGATGGTTCAAAATAATCTGCTCAACTAGTTGACTATAAACCTGGATTCAGATGCAGCCAAAAAAACTAAACAAAGTTAAGATACCAGAAATTCCTTAGCATAATGTACAGAAAGGAATCCAACACTCAGAATGGAAAGACTGTTGTTAATTTACCATTTGCAACCTGCCACCCACGCCAGCTGTGTCCCCCAGAGGATCTAGATGTTCCCTTTATCTTGGCTTCAAGAAATACAACGCACATGGGAGAAGCAGCATGCTTGAGAAGGACCATTGTAAATGTCTCATGTAACAGGGAAAAGCTCGGGGTACTTCTGCTGGAATGAGCTACCTGAGGTCAATGGACATGATGAGAACCCAGGGTGGAAGAGATCTGCAATAGGCAAAGCCAGCCAAAGTCACAATAGTGCAGCTGCACCAGCTTGGACTACAGGTGCTGACTGATTGATCATGAAACTTTAGTTGAAACCGAAGCAGATGGCCAACTAAATCCACTCTTGATCTACATAACATTTGTATGTATATGTGTGTGTGTGTGTGTGTGTGTCTAAGTTTGGAAAACAGGTATCGGAGTCTAAGATGCCATCTCTCACCCAATTCCCAGCCCTAAATATCTTCACAGATTCAAAGTCCCTTAAATACAATAAAAGACAAGTACTGCTTAGAAAAAAAACCATGTGATAACATACCAAGGTTATAGCCTAATTTTTTTCTGTCCATCACCAAAGAAGCAAACATAGCCATTTACCAGGTATTTGTAAACTGGGAAAAAGAAAATACCTCTTTTTTCAGAG